TTGTGGTTGCAAAGATGAGATAAAGTTGTGTGTGTGTGTGTGTGTGTGTGTGTGTGTGTGTGTGTGTGTGTGTGTGTGTGTGTGTGTGTGTGTGTGTGTGTGTGTGTTTTGCACATATGTGAGTAGGAATGAGCTATAGGAGGGGGTTGTATATGAAAAAAGAGGGTGGGAGACGGAAAAAAAAATCATAAAAGAGACAGAAGCTAGCTGCTGAGGCTACAGATGCTAAAGACTGAACAGGCCTGATTCCTCCTTTTCTTCTCATTTTCAAAGAGATATCATCATGACCAGCAAAACAATCATGAAAGAGAGGCAGGCAGGAGGAAAGACAGGAGCAAGAACAGAACAAAGGCGATGAATTACAACAAACCAGTAGACTGTGTCGTCTTATTAGACTGTGTGACAATATTATCTTGTCAGTTTCATTACACCAAAGGCAGCGATAATAAGGGCAGATATTTGCTTTAAAATATGTCAGACAGGATTTCCTGAAAGATGGATGATCAGTAAATGGAGAGCAGAATTGGCCCCGGCCCAGGCAATGCTCTGATAATACATTATTCTTCTTCACATTAAAGCTGTCATCTCTTTTTGTTCTACTTCTACGCATCAGCTACATAATAAAAGTGTAGTGTAGAGGGAGGGACAGAGCAGGCATGTCAGCTGTTGTCCTTGTCTTCATGACGGGTCAGAATATAGAAAATGCAATGCATTTTTGACAAAGGGAAATGGTTTGCATACATTATGAATTTCCCACCAAGATGATTTTGACACATCACAAAATACTGCAGAGTAAAAGAATAGTGTCAATCAGGAAATCATACTAGCATAGCAGCTAATGTATATGTATATGTATTGTGTTTTTTTTGTTTTTTTTTAAGCGATGAAGTATTTTTTTTCCTCAAGTTTAAGTTCTGACCAAACCGCTTCAAACGTTAACAGCTGGATACGTGAAATCTGAGGAGCACATGTGCTGCGTATAGGAGGAGGGTATTGTGTTCATAAGTGTATTCATACCCTATATTTATGCTCCTGCTGCACACACTGAGCGCTAACAGCTGAAATGCCCCCACTAAGATATGCTGTGCTTAAACCATTTATGCACGCCGGTGCCAGGTTTCTCATCTTGCCCGGACACATTTCAGGAATACTTCTAAAAGCACTTTAGTGACTCCTGTAAAAATGCACTAAAAGCGCTGCTGTTTACTTGTGATCAGTATTTCAGCCTTGATGGAGACCATGACTGGGCCTGAGCATAAATCTTACCACCACAAACTTTTTACAAGGTAATGCGAGTGAGGTCTGGAGGATCTCACACACACACACACACACACACACACACAGTCACATAAAAAAAGGCAGAGGGCCTCATAATCTATTCCTCTCTTAGCCTAACATGCCACCCTGCTCCTCCACGAACAGGCTGATGGTATAAAACCAAGATGGAGTCCTTACTCACTGTAACAACAATGCATCATCAGGGCTTAGCGATGCCGTTTATTACAGCACTCTATGTGTTGACATGTTGTATTCGGCTTATTTTATGGCACACTGTGGCTTTGGTAGAGCTGTGTTTCGCTTTAACAGGCTGATAAAATCCCATCTATCCATTCATTTTCTAAACCACTTATCCAGTTCAGGGTCACAGGAGGTCTGGAGTCTATCCCATGCAAGAGACAGGATACACACTAGACAGTTTATCACAGTTTATCACACATGTGTATATAGGGAGGATGGTCACTTCACCTAACCCGCATGTCTCTGGAGTATGAGAGGTGAAAAGGAGAAACCCACGCAGACACACACTTTACCAGGAACCGTTGATTCGGTGTGCAATCATAACAAATAATTTTCTAAAAAGTTCACTCCAGAGGAAACTGAAGTGAATCAACCAACAGTGGCGGCTCGCTTGTGCTTTTTTTCTCGGCGTAAGAACATTAACCATTGAGGTGGACACGGAGTTTTATGAATGTTGTTGAGTAATGTGTTTAATTTTTAATACGATTCTCACTGACTCATGACAATGCTTCATCACCTATAATATGGTGAATCTTCACACACTAAAATATTTTCTGCAGTTCAGCCCCACGAGCATTTCCAAAAATGTTTAAGCTAAAGCTGAAGCTTATTAAGATGTTAACATGAAACAGCTCCCCTCTGTAATGTGTCTATAAGGCCAGCGTGACACTCACTGTGGAGCAAACTCTGGAGAGTGTCTTATTAGAGTCAGTGGTTCGGATAAAGGTTCATAGATGGAACATATTAGTTGTCCATGATTTAAAATGGTCATTAAACTTTCCAGGGCTCTAAAATAAAAATGTCATTAAAGGCACATTGAAGTCATGTTTGGTATTACGGGAATACACAACTAAATAAATGGACATCCAAGCAAAATGGTAAAAAAAAAAAAAAATGTTGAAAATATCCAGAGGGGTTTGGTGAGAATACAGATGTCCCTGCGAGAAGGGCTAAGCAGTATCTGAATTATTGATGCAAGCTTACTCAATGTCAACACTTTAAAGAGGAATTTAACCCTTTTATTTGCTTGTTGGATTACATCCTTCATTGAAAAAGACAGGACATGACTGCAAGGTGCTGTTGAATTTGGCCAGAGAACACAGATCCCCGCACTTCTAAACTCTGGACAGGTTGTATATGGGAATATGTTTTCACCAACACCCTCACACGTGTTCCTTCATGAGTGGCCTGTTGTGGTGGTTTCAAGAAGTTTCATCCAGTCTACAGAACTGACACAAGCGACTTGCATCTCTGTTTCAACAGAGCATAGCCACTGTTTTCAACTCTTTGAATCCATTCTAGTTATGTGTGTGAATATCACTGTGTGTGGTTTGCAAACTCGCCTTGGACTGACTGCTAAGGAATGAATAAAGTATATTCAACTGGGCTGGATTAAGTCATGAGATCTACATGTTTTACAGCAGGTCTCTCTGTCTTGTTTATGTGTAAATACGCCATGCATAAAATATAGCAATAAATATATCATTACTTACATGGGAAATCCACACTAAAACATAATTCATGCATGTGATCATTTTTCATCTTAAAGTGATCATCTGGCAGTAAAGGGTCTGGTCTATGATAATCATATTTCAGTTTTTCTATGCCAGTAAATCAGTCTGGCTGATTCCAGTCTATAAGAAATTAAGTATTAAGTATTTTAATTTTATGCTCCTCTGTACCTCAGTTACACCACAGAACTTTCTACTCCATAGATTTATTTGACTTTGCAGGTTCAGATTTTACGTACAGAATATATATAAAATATGGTGTATTTTTATAGACTAAATTATACAAACAGCATATGAAGTAGCTCCACCTCGACCAGCTGCAATATAAAAATCCAGCTTGCTCCTAAATGCATCAAGAATAGGAATTCCAATAATACAATAGGCTATATAATATTATAATACTGCGAAGGGGGTCATTCTGCATAATGAACATTTATTTTTATACTTTAAGTATATTTTGCTACTAATACTTATGTACATTTTGAATGCATTTTTTTTTTTTACTTGTAACAAAGTATTTATATTGGGGTCTCATTAATTTAACATAGGTAAAGGAACTAAGGACCAACTCCACCACTGGTCAATGAGCTGCTGAATGTCTCTGGAGAACAGCTGTTTTTAGACACATGGATATTCAGTCATGTCTTATGCAGTAGGGACAATATAAAATTAATTGTTGTATGGATTCCATTATTATTTAATGCACATCCTTAGGTTAAGTTAAAGTAGGCTACCCTATGTATTATTTATGATCGCTTAGACAATAAATGCAATAAATGCAAAAATTGAGGGATGCATTGCTCTAAACCATTTAAAGCATATATATTTATATAGCCTATATATGAATATAGGGTATATACTGTATATCCTATATTCAGATACGTATCATTGTTTTATCTGCTATTTTGAAGGAGGACACCCTAAAACTTGTCGCACAAGGGAAAGCAGTTAAATATCTGTTGAGACCTAAGATGTAGTGTCGTCGCTCCTCTGGACCTGTGAGTCTGTGACCCCTTATTGCGCAACATTGTGGGATTCTCATAAAATGAGTCTGTGTCCTGTTGTAGTCGAAGTTTGTGGCTGAGCACAAGCATCAGAGAGAGAGAGAGAGAGGGAGAGAGAGAGAGAAAGAGAGAGAGGGAAGTTTGCTGTGAGCCTTTTGAAACTGCTGTAATGAACAAGCTGTTCCGCACGATTTGAAAATAATCCGCGTGTCAGTGTCATCTTTCTTATGCAAAGTAGCTGTCTTTGAAGGCGGATCTTTTGGCAGGTTAGACCGGGACGGAGGCTCCGACCAGCTCAGACGAGCGCTGCCACCAAACGCATCAGCCGCCTGTTTACGGGAAGAGCATAATCCTGCATTTCTGGGACACATTTAGCATTTTTCATCGGGGATATATGTGTTTGACTTATTCTGCAGACTGATTAATTGTCTCGGGTGCCTCGCGAGGAGCCGCGCAAAGGACTGGAGGAAAAAATAATTTCAGTTGTTTTTCCAAGTTGTCGCGCAAGGACTGGAATCGCACCGTTGCACGCGCACATAGTCCGGAAAAGTGACATGAAACGTGAGGACGGAGGAGTGAGTCTTCTGGAAACAAGTGGGAAACAAATCGGAGCACACGACAGTTCTCTTTTGCTCTCAGCACACTGATATGCGCGGTGCAAAGTAGCTCCGGCACTTGAGCCACAAACTGAGCAGCCTGAAAGCATGGACCTGAACGCACGCTGCTTCCAGCCAGAAAACATTCTCGGACCATCGCGGGAAATATGTTTTTATTAAACTCACCGAAACGATGTTCTCCCTACAGATAGTTGTGTAAGTTTTCCCACTTTGATCCTGCACACAAACACCGGCCTGGTTTCATCACGGACTTGTTTTAATGACAGAAACTTGTGTGTCGTGGTTGTGGTGAACATTTGGCCGAATTTTTTTTTTTTTTTTTTTTTTTTTCATCAGATCAAGAGGAGAGAATGTGTTCATCTGCTAAACTGAGCCTGATCTGTGCGCTGCTGGTCCTGTGCAGCGGTGGGGGCTCAGCTATTAGCTCAATAGACCCAGACTGGTCAGGAGAAGGGAGATGTCAACACATCAACATCCCCCAGTGTAAAGACATTGGCTATAACATGACTCGCATGCCAAATCTCATGGGCCACGATGACCAAAAAGAGGCAGCGATAAAGCTGCAGGAGTTTGCAACACTGATACAATTTGGATGCCACAGTCATCTCAAATTTTTCCTGTGTTCACTGTATGCTCCCATGTGCACAGAGCAGGTGTCCAACCCCATCCCAGCATGTAGAGTTATGTGTGAGCAGGTGAAGTTAAAATGCTCACCTATCTTGGAGCAGTTTAACTTCCCCTGGCCTGACTCTCTGGACTGCTCCAGGCTGCCAACCAAAAATGACCCGAACAACCTCTGCATGGAGGCACCCAACAACGGCTCAGATGAGCCTCCCAAAGTCTCCCACACCCAGCCTCCAGATTTCAGGCCACAGCGGCCTCTGAGCGGGCAGGACCTGCACCTGAAGGACAGCGGGAGCAAGCAGACGTGCAGCAACCCCGGCAAGTTCCACTTCGTGGAGAAGAGCGAGTCCTGTGCCCCAAAATGCTACCCTAAAGTGGACGTCTACTGGAGCCAGGGAGACAAGCAGTTCTCTCTGGTGTGGATGGCCATCTGGTCTATCCTCTGCTTTGTCTCCAGCGCCTTCACTGTGCTCACTTTCCTCATAGACCCGCAGCGATTCAAATACCCAGAGAGGCCGATCATCTTCCTCTCCATGTCCTACTGTGTTTACTCTGTGGGCTACCTCATTCGACTCTTTGTGGGAGCTGACAGAATAGCCTGTGATAGAGACAATGGGGTCCAGTATATTATCCAGGAGGGTCTGGAGAGCACCGGCTGCACTATTGTGTTCCTCATCCTGTATTATTTTGGCATGGCCAGCTCCCTCTGGTGGGTTATCTTGACCCTGACATGGTTCCTGGCTGCAGGGAAGAAGTGGGGTCATGAGGCCATCGAGGCAAACAGCAGCTACTTCCACCTGGCAGCGTGGGCCATCCCGGCCGTAAAGACCATCATGATCCTGGTGATGAGGAAGGTGGCGGGGGACGAGCTGACGGGCGTCTGCTACGTGGGCAGCATGGACGTCAAAGCTCTCACGGGCTTTGTGCTCATTCCTCTCTCCTGCTATCTTATTATTGGCACTTCTTTCCTGCTGTCAGGCTTTGTGGCCCTCTTCCACATCCGTAAGATAATGAAAACAGAGGGAGAGAACACGGACAAGCTTGAGAAGTTGATGGTCCGCATCGGGGTCTTCTCCGTGCTCTACACTGTCCCGGCCACCTGCGTCATCGCCTGCTATTTCTACGAGAGGCTCAACATGGACTACTGGCGCATCCTGGCAGGGGAGCAGAAGTGTGTGGACAGCAGCGGGCCGGAGTCGGACGAGTGCGTCATGAAGACTTCCATCCCCGCTGTGGAGATCTTCATGGTGAAGATCTTCATGCTGCTGGTGGTGGGCATCACTAGCGGCATGTGGATCTGGACCTCAAAGACACTGCAGTCGTGGCAGAATGTGTTCAGCAGGAAGCTAAAGAAGAGGGCGAGGAGAAAGGCTGCCAGCGTGTTCACCAGCAGTAGGCCTTACATCAAACCTCACCCATCTCTCAAAGGGCACAGTACTAAGTATGAGCCTACACGGCCCCCTCCAACATGTGTATGAGCTGGCTCTCTTTGTATAAACCCAAAAATACTTGTAAAGCCCTTACCTAAATGAGACTTTGTAATCAGAGTGCCATCAAAAGAATCAAGGTTCATGTTTTATTTATGCAAACTGCATTGAAGATAATGCAATGTGGGGGTTTTTTTTGTTGTTTTTTTTTTTTTTTTGTATCTTGAGCCATCTCATGCAACAAGAGCTGCCTTTGTTTGAAAAAAAAGAACTGCTACTCCTGGATTCACTTATCCTATTGAGGAACTTGGTAGAAAAAAAAAATCGTATTGTTCCCAAGACAAAAAGAGTGGAATAAACCATTTGGATGTGCCATGGGGTTACTTGAATAATGTGCAATAGCTGTTTTCCTTACAGACAAAAAAGACACTTGTACTGTTAGTGACAGATTACAGACAGTGAAAGGACCCCGAGGACAATGGAGGCAAATGGTCAGAGACATGAGTGTTGTGTTTGGAGGCTTTTTTTTTTTTTTTCATAGAGACCGAGGCAGTGTCATATATGTTTGAACTGGAGTGAGAGCAGCTGTTGAAAAGCGCTCGAGACCTTACGACCTGCCCATTGTGAGGCAAATCCACGCCATAAATTAATCAAGCACTCGTTATTGAAAAGTTATTTGTACACCCAGTTGAGTTTTCCATTCTTTTTTTCTTTGCTGTTTTATAGCACAAGAGAACGTTTGTATATATTTCTAAAGAAAAAAAAGGTGAGATTTTATAGAAAAATTAATAAAACGTTCTAGTTTTAAATGTTTGTAAAGCCGGAATTGTGTATTGCAACTGTGTTGTTATTCTTTCTGCGGCATAAAGCTTCTTTTTTTTTTTTTTTCTGCAATTACAACCTTCGCCATTACATGCTGACAGTGTGCAGCAATCATTATGATACAACATAAAAATCTACATCATTGATCTGAATTTGTGAATGTGATGGTATGTTAGAGCTGGATTTTAACATCACGTTTGTCATGCAGAATAACTGATGGAGTCAGCATTGTTTACACGAACAAAAAGACAGAAAGAGAGACATTTTACTGTAGTTATATCTGACGGGTTTTATTAGCAGTTGATATCAACTCATAAATATTGCACACACGTATTATATCTCCTGCTATGGGGAAAAACATTGCACTTCTCAAAACTGATGAATATCTTTCCATGCTTTGCAGAAATTAAGACGTGTTGGTGCTCAAGTCAACAGGAAACATTAACAGTGACGTCTCTGTTCTTGTTTTTAAATGTTCATAAAGAAACGATGTGACATTTATGTCCGTCCCTCTGTGACTACATCAAAGACAACTAACAGCAAAAAAACCCCAACAAAAACTAGGACGTAGAAGGACTGCCTATGGTCTTTCATTTGCTGTTTGTGAACAGGAAGATAAGGCCACAGAGTCACTTCAATTTTTTTTTATTTATTCTGTGTTTTATTAAGATATAAAATGACATGTAGTTTTTCATTTTAATATCTTTGCTCCACCAAAACAAACAAATAATCAATATTTGATTCTCAGGTTGGGTGTAGTTGCTTTAATTTTCGAGATTAGATTATAGTGTTTTATTTAAAAAATTCAGTTTGAAGCAGCGCTCGATCAATTATTCCTGTGAGTGCACATTTCAGTCAATATATGTAAACATGAGAGAGTGAAAGTGGTGATGTTATCAAAAGGTGAAATTAGGAGACTAAAATGTCCAATATTTTAGCTGTTATATATAGCTGTTTGACATCAGCGTTTTGACAACCTGTTAATGATTTTTTTATATTCCTCACTGCCTTTATGTTGGCTGCTTATATAAGCCTTGGTATAGTTCCTCACCTCAGCTGAAGTGAATATACAACTTTATTTTAGTCCTCTCTCTTCCTCTCTCCCACCTCTCTCTTCCTCTCTCCCACCTCTCTCTCTCTCTCTCTCTCTCTCTTGCTGTGTTGCATGTGTCGGTGCGTATCAATGAAGGGGTTATACAATAATCCAGCTCTCATTCAGGACAGGATTAGACTGTTTGAAGGGTTTGACTTTGAAAAGAGGATCGCTGCAAACCAAAATACAGAATATCTGTCATCGCTTCTCTTCTTATCAGCAGGCCATAGTGACATTTCTAAAGACACATCTGGCCTGGATTTGAAGTAGTTACATATTGACTGAAGCGGTTTTCTAAAGCACGAGCAAACCGAGTACATTGTGTGGTATCCTGAGATGTTTGGTGTTAAGCGATCCTTACCCTGTCAACAATTTTAAGGTGCCTGCTCTGAGAGCCACAAGTCTAGTCTTGAATCCAAGCAACGGCTATTGACTTTTGTCTTGACAGTGCTGTCAGAGCAACAGGAAAACATGGATACTTAAAGTCATTGACTACATGTACGAGTATGTAAGAGACATATAGGAATGATAATAGATTGTCAGAAGTTAATGTAAATCTAAGCACGGGGATATTCTTCCGCACATGCAAGGAAAAAAAAGATGCAGTTTTCCACCTTTATCTGCCTCAATTTCAAATCTTTTTTGAGAGTTTAAAACCTATGGTAGAGAGTCCTCCCTGGTCTAATAAAGTTTCAGAAGTGTAGTAATGCTTTATCCCCGAGGGCATTCAAGTTCCAGCGTCAACCCAACCCGTTTTAACAGTCAAAAGCACATGACTCACAACCTCTATGTGGCTGAATCAAAGTCAGCCAGTGTCTATTGATACTCTGAGTTGCGAAAAAGGTGTGAGTGCTTCTGAGAGCTTCAACAGAGGCCACCTGGATAACAGCCCCCGAGGTGTCTGGGAAGGCTGTAAATATAAATGACAGTTACCACCCCCCTCCAGGGCTTCTTCAGCCAAGCAGGCTTCACTTCTCTTCTTCTCCTCTCTTCAAAGGGAAAAATCCTGCTCAGAGCAAGGGCAAAGTATTGCTGGCAAGAAAGGGTTTTTTTTCTGTTATTTTTTTCTCAAAATCACACTCAACTGTATGTATTGCTGGATTTAGGCTTTTAAAAGTATAGATCTTACTTCATCAGACCAAAGGTTATCAAGCCAGGAGTGTCTGCCAACTTAGTGAGACATCCTCCGTCTGGTGTTGCTGATCATTACATGCTGTTCCTTGACATGTTTCATTTGACCAAGTGGGGAATCCCGCCACAACCACGTGACTAAGGCTGACGAATCTCAGACCCGCATATCTCTAAACTCCACCAGGACGAACGCCGGCGCCCGCACACTCATCCACTTCCTGCCTGTCATGCTGTTCTGCCGTGCCATGTACGAGATATCAGTGTCTGCGTTGGCTTATGATGTGTTGACAAAAAGAAGCTTCTGCTTGTGATCAGTGTTGTTGAAACAGCATCAAACCTTTGATAATCACTTGATTTAATTTAATCTGACTGGTTCGCCAGTGAGCCAGGATTTTCAGCTTTTCACACTCTGTAATTGAGCTGATGTTAAGTGTCTTTGTGGAACCGAGCGGTATTACGAACATAAAGTTGAAATGACAGAACAATTAAGCCTGCTCTGCATGTCAAAGGCTGATTTTGGGTTCAGAGGGAAAGTGGCAAGAAAGCATCATCGCCAGTCAAAACCTTAACACTATGTTTCTATATCAATAAATGACTGCACCTTCTTCCCATAGCCTTGTTGTTGTATTCAAAGCTGAGGAGGAACCTGTGTACCTTTACTTTGTCTGCTGCTTTTGCAAGCAGTCATAAAGTTCTCTGACACGGTGACATAAATCAAGTTGCCGGGATGACTGGCGGCTGAGGCAGCTTCTCTTTGATCAGGCTTTTGTGGAGACGCCCCATGTCCTCATCCTCAGCTGCTCTAGCAGCACCTGTTTACTAGTTCAGGCCTGTCTGTTTGGAAAGCAGTGCTTAGCCTCCTACATGACACACACACACAACATACACACAAAGGAATTTGGCTTGTGCTCAGGGGGTGTGTGGGTCTTTTTTAAACATGTATGCTCCTAATGTGCTAGACCCATACTGATTTTTGGCACTTGTTTCTCTTATTAGACAGCTGCTCTAAATGTAAATCTGTTGCCTTTTGGAGAGTTCTGCCTCCTTCGGCTGTGCCAGAGAAGAAAAATAGTTGTTGCATCATGACAAATGAAACAGCTTTGTTTTCCTGCTGAAGAAGTAACTTGGAGTAAGAGCGTTGCTGAAGAAAAAAAAAAAAAAAAACTTTACACAGAGAGCTGCAAGTTTCACAGACCAAAGCGTTATCATAGAATGCAATGAAAGCTCCCTCTCATCCCTCAAGTTCTTCTGGTACATAAATCCAGAGAACTGAGAATTATGGTTGAAGGAAGTGTGGGTGGGCTTCATGTTCTGGATTGATCTATATAGCACAGAATCTAGGGCAGTGTAAGAGTACAGTATACATATATGCCCAATCTGCAATAACAAGTCACACTAATAGCTCACAGACACACACACACACACATCTTTCTGCTGTGGAGGCAGTTGTTCCCAGAGAAGGTGAGAGTAATTACATAAAAACCTGGCAACAATGAGTCCTCTCCCGGCAAGGCGGGGACATGGCACTTTTTTTCAAATGCATAATGAACTACCTCGCAGGCCCTCTGCTGATCAAACAAGTGTTTGATAGTGGCTTTGGTTTGAAAGAGGACTGAATATGTTTATTTGCATGTGGAGAAGTGAGTGACTTTGAGGTGGAGATCAGGCAGATTAGTGTTAACTGACAGAGACCTGTGCAAACAGACACTCCCCCTCCATACAAGCAGGGCAGCGGCGCACTTCCTCAGAGGACTAGTTAGGCTGAATACAACATCAGATAGACCAGAGCATGACAACTCCTGCTACTTTTCAGACAGTGCTCTTTGTGTGCCAGCCTCCTCCCTCAAGCCTGACTCTTTTCATAAGTTTTGGCTGGTTTTGTTATTTTGGTGAATGTGAAAGCAAGCAGACTGATAGCTGGCAAACAATGTAAGAGATGGGAAATCCAATAACTGGCGGCCATTTATCAAAGATAATTTCTTTTATTTCTCTTTTTTGAATCCATTTAAAAAAAATCCCTCGGAGCCACATTCACAACTGGAATCACTTTTGTGTCACATGAGAAATACTCTACAACTATTGTATAGGTGAAACACATCGCATACTGTGAAACATATGGAAATGTGTTAACAGGTGCAAGGGGATTTTCAGTACATAGTTGACCATATCAGACCACA